ACAGAAAGTAGAATAGGCTGTGCGTGGTAGCTGAGACCTGTAATCATAGGACTTTGGGAGGCCAAGGTGGGAGGATTGCTTTGAGTCCAGGAGTCTGAGACTGAGACTGGCCTGGGCAACCTGGTGAAAATCCCATCTCAAAAAAAAAAAAATTAAGAAAAAGAAAGTAGAATAGAGGTTACCATGGGCTGCAGGGATGGAGGGAGGCTCTGTCTCAAAGAAAAAAAAAAGAAAAAGAAAAAGAAAAACATATAGCTAACATCATACTCAATGGTGAAAGACTGAAAGCTTTTTCTCTAAAATTAGGAACAAGACAAAGAAACCCACTCATCATTTTTTGAGACGGAGTCTTGCTCTGTCATCCAGACTAGAGTGCAGTGGCGTGATGTCGGCTCACTGCAACCTCCGCTGCCCGGGTTCAAGCAATTCTCCTGCCTCAGCCTCCTGAGTAGATGGGATTACAGGTGCCTGCCACCATGCCTGGCTAATTTTTGTATTTTTAGTAGAGACGGGGTTTCACCATGTTGGCCAGGCTGGTCTCAAACTCCTGGCCTCAAGTGATCCACCTGCCTAAGCCTCCCAAAGGCCTGGGATTAAAGGCGTGAGCCACCTTGCCCTGGCCTCATCATTCCTCGTTTTTTTTTTTTTTTTTTTTTTTTTTGTAGACGGAGTCTCGCTCTGTGCCGCCCAGGCTGGAGTGCAGTGCCGCGATCTCCAGCCCACTGGCAAAGCTCTGCCTCCCGGGCTACATGCCCATTCTCCTGCCTCAGCCGCGTCGCGTGTAGTCTGGGACTGACAGGCGGCCCGCCACGTCGCCTGGCTAGTTTTTGTATTTTTTAGTAGAGACGGGGTTTCACCATGTTGGCCAGGCTGGTCTCAAACTCATCTCCTCGTGATCCGCCCGTCTCGGCCTCCCAAAGTGCTGGGATTACAGGCTTGAGCCACCGCGCCCGGCCCATCATTTCTTTAAAAAAAAAAAAAAAAAATTAAGTCTAGTAACGGAGTCTCACTATGCTGCCCCAGGTTGGTCTCAAATTCCTGGGCTCAAGTAATTCTCCTGACTCAGCCTCCCAAAGTGCTGAGATTACAGGTGTAAGCCACCACACCCAGCCTCTTCATTTCTATTCAACATTGTACTGGAAGTTCTAGGTAGATCAGTTAGATAACAAAAAGAAATAAAAGGCATCCACATTAGAAAGAAAGAAAGAAAACTGAGGCCAAGTGTGGTATCTCACACCTGTAATCCCAGTGCTTTGGGAAGCCCAAGCAGGAGGATAGTTTGAGGCCAGGGGTTTGAGACCAGCCTGGGCAACACAGTGAAAGTCCATCTCTACAAAAAAAAAAA